AAGATATAGCAGCACACAAATACATGGAGTATCTAGAAAGAATAAAGAGAGGTAGTGATAATAATCCTCCTAGAATAACATTTACCTTCAGTGCTTGATTTGCTGCAACTCTCTTTTTTCAAAGTCCTGTAGTCTCGGAATAGACTTTTTAGTTGTGACTACACAATAAAACACTGGAAGGTCCAAGAAATTCATTATGAGAGGATTATACCTATAGTCCAAGATTATTGCATACATTGAAGGTACCAAGTTTTCTCCCTTTTTTTCCCCATACTTTGCAAACAGCTTCAGCCAAATTATAGTCAGTTAAATTTGGATAAATTTTCTTGTTTTCCTTCATGCTTGGCAATGTATAAGACATCGTGAATTGTTTTGTACTACTTTTTAATATAGTGTTCAGTATTTCTCAGATAAGAATTTGTCTCATTTACAAGTAAAAAAACCTAGGAGGGGAAAGAATATATCTAAAGATACTCCAAGTATGATCCTCAGATCAGCAGTAGCATCTGAAGCTTTCTAGAAATGTAGAATTTTTGTTTTCCCCCCACTCTCTTCCCCCTAGACCTAGTGAATGAGAATCTGCATGTTAAAAAGATCCCCAAGTGATGTAAACTCATTAAAATTTGAGAAGCACTGGTTTAAGAACATGGGAATAATCATGACTTATCAAATGGAATTAAAATCATGTGATTATCAATTTTGAGACTGGTGGTTCATTTTTCTTGGTCATCTTGAGTTACCATTGACTAAGAAACTATAGAGGTGTTATATTATGCAAATGGTTCTAATTTTCTGTATTAGGAATTAGACCTTTATAACGTGCGTGTGTGTGTGTGTGTGTGTGTGTGTGTGTGTGTGTTTATTGATTTCAGAGAGGAAAGGAGAGGGAGAGAGATAGAAACATCAATGATGAGAGAGAATCATTAATCAGCTGCCTCCTGCATGCCCCACACTAGGAATTGAGCCTGCAACCCAGGCATATGCCCTGACCAGGAATTGAACCATGACCTCCTGGTTCATAGGTCGACACTCAATTACTGAGCTATGCCGGCCGGGCTATAGAACATTTTAATTATATACATTTTTTATAATAAACACTCTAAAATATAACTACTGATACAGTATATTGAATTTATATTCTTCATTCTTAGGGGAAAATGCCGAGAAGCTCTTACAGTTCAAGCGTTGGTTCTGGTCAATAGTAGAGAAGATGAGCATGACAGAACGACAAGATCTTGTAAGTTAAGTTCACAGAATTTGTATAACAAAATATAAAAATTTAAAATACTGCATATGATAGCCTTTTGTTTTAAGTTTGAAATGGTGAGTTATTTTAAGTTTGGCTAAAGAAATTACAGAGAGTTAGAAATAATAGGCAGTTTTGTTTTTCTACTCTATAACAGAACATTTGAAGTATTAATAAAGCTGTAAGCAGAGTGAAATAAATACATCTTAGCTATTAATATGACATTATTAGTCTTAGAAAATAATACCAGCATATTGTTGAGACCCCCACCCCCATAGTGCTTATATATGTTGGCTGCTCCGTCATCCTTTTGACTAGTAGTAAGCCTCTGCAACATTTCTGAATAGTATAGTGTCTTGACTGTTATCTCGCACTAGGAATAGAGTAGCTTTATTGTGATATGTGAATATTAAGCCTATGATTTTAATCTTACGATTATTAACTTAGAAGCATAGATTAGGTAATACTAACTTTGGTCATAGTGAAAAGTTGATCCTAAAGTCAGACCAACCTGGAATATATCCATAACCAAATCAACCTGTCCATTAATCTTGAAAGAGAAGTCTCCACTAGGCCAGCCTTAGTGCTCAGTAATCTAAACTAGACTATTCATGGAATGTATAAAAATGATCACATATCTAGTATAGCCCCAAATTTTATTCAAGAGGGGGAAATGGTTACTTGTACTTTTAGCATTCCTTAATCTTTACATGTGCACACCCCCTCTCCCCTTGCCTTCCAGTATTTCTTCACTAATATTTCTGTTTGTTCAGCAGTCCTGGCTGTCACCAGGTTCTGTTCTTGGCTTAGCCGTCCTGGTAATTGATTTCCGCTTAGATTATTCCCTAGGTGGTAAATTCTATGTGATTGGTTCCATGTTATTTGACTTTCCCAATCTTGTGGACCCTAAATTCCCTATCAGGGCTAATACCATATCTGTCCTTGTTGCCATCAAGAGCACCTAAATAGCTTGGTAGAGTTATATCACTTTAGTCAGTCTTTGGATTTGGGAACTTTGTTTCCCTGTAACAAGCAACGTATTAGTTTTGTAAAGCCTACCAGAAACAGAAATAGAAATGATTGGCTATCTTATATGAATTCTTATCTATTCCCTAGTTTTAATTTTCTGCTGTTTTTAAACTAATGACATCCTCTTCCAGTTAGTCAAGTTAAATCTCACTGCAGTTTCTGCTTTCCCTGAAAGAAATGTGCTAACTCTTTAGTTTTGAGAGAGCGAGCGAGTGAGAGAGACTCTCAATATAAGGGCCTTAATATTTCCTATCCATAGCTGTAATTTATGAGCTCCACTCTTTAAACGCCTATATAAAATCTATTCCTAGGGCATAAGCAGTTTATCAAGGTGTCTTTTCCCTCTCTTCCCTTTTCCTTCACATATTGTTGGTTTTATCCTGATGTGTCTGAGGGGAAATGCTGAGGGATATTAGACTATAACAGGGTTTCTCAAATGGTTCTCCCTTGAATTATTAGTCCTGCAAATTATAGGGTTTCTAGAGTTACTGGATTTCTCATAAAACTATTTGCTTCAGGAATTACAGCAAGTTAGTTCATTTAGGTTTCCTCTGGGATTTTGGATATATTTGTTTGTTTAGCTGTATACTATAAATGTGTTAGATTTAAAAGGCTTTACCTTAGCCCTGACTGGTTTGGCTCAGTGGATAGAGTGTCGGCCTGTGGACTCAAGGGTCCCGGGTTCGATTCCGGTCAAGGGCATGTACCTTGGTTGCGAGCACGTCCCCAGTTGGGAGTGTACAGGAGGCGGCTGATCGATGTTTCTGGCTCTCTGTCCCTCTCCCTTTCTCTCTGTAAAAAAACCAATAAAATATATTTTTAAATAAATAAATAAATAAAAGGCTTTACCTTAGAGATTGGCACTATTTTATTATCACTGAAGAGTGATATGTATGTATATATGTATGGGTCAATGATGAATGGAATGTATTAATAAAAATAAAGATTATGTTATCATATTTAAGTAAAAAAGTAAAGTAGAAGTTAACATTCATCTTACATCACACAAAAAAGATGTGTAGTAAAACATAATGTTATATGGCTTATTGCATGGATTTTCATGTACAGTAGATGTTCTCATTAATTACTTTTATAAAGTTACTCTGTGTCACAGTGTAGCACTGAAATTACTGGGTTGTTTTGCTAATAGATAAACTGCAAAATAACTTTTCTTAAAACCTGTGTGAATTTTGAGCCTTTGGTAGTGGTGGTGGGGGCGGGGGGAGATGCTGCATTTTTCCATTATGAGGTATGCCATGCAATTTAGCCCCTGGAAAGACCCTTAGAGAACCTTTGGTCCAACAAGCCTCATGTTACAGATGAGAAACTGAGAGCCTGAAACATAGTTTCTTTTCTATATCTGACACTTTTTTTCCCTTCTGACCCTGAATCTTCCCTTTTCAGTACAAGAAATAAATTTAAAACTCAGTTCAAAAAGTACAGTACCCTTACGTAGATTTTAATACAAGAATGGGGCTTTGTGAGTATATTGCCAGAATTAAGGGTTGAGGGTTAATCTGTTAAAAACCAAAACTGTAATTATTATATTCCTGTTTAGGTTTACTTTTGGACATCAAGCCCATCATTACCAGCCAGTGAAGAAGGATTTCAGCCTATGCCCTCAATCACAATAAGACCACCAGATGACCAACATCTTCCTACTGCAAATACTTGCATTTCTCGACTTTACGTCCCACTCTATTCCTCTAAACAGATTCTCAAACAGAAATTGCTACTCGCCATTAAGACCAAGAATTTTGGTTTTGTGTAGAGTATAAAAAGTGTGTAACTGCTGTGTAATATTACTAGCGAATTTTGTAGATTTTTTTCCATTTGTCTATAAAAGTTTATGGAAGTCAATGCTGTCACACCCCCTGGAGGTACCTTAAAGAGATAAATACAAACATTCCTTGCTGAGTTTGTAGCATAAAGGACTGAGGAGCACTAGCAACATTTAACTGTGATTTGCTAGTTAACAACTTCTGGGTCTAACCCCAGCCAAAGATGACAGCAGAACAACATAATTTACACTGTGATTTATCTTTTTGCTGAGGGGGAAAAAATGTAAAATGTTCTGAAAATTCACTGCTGCCTTTGTGAAAAGTGTTTCAGCAAAGGTTCTTGTATAGAGGGAATAGGGAATTTCAAAATAAAAAATTAAGTATGTTCTGTGTTTTCATTTTAACTTTTTTATGGTGTTGAATTTGTGGTTGGCTGCAATTGTGTATCATGTATATGGAACTTGTAAAAAGTTCTAGACATTCAGATCTTAGAGGTAAAATCACGTTTACCTATAAAAACCACTTATTGCGGTTTATTTTGGCTGCATTGAACTCTAGGATATTAAATGAAATCACTAATATTTTGCATGTAATTGTTCATTTGAGTGAGGGCACTTTTTGTACATATGATGGGGCCAATGCACAATACTTGATCACAATCACCCTTTCCCCTTTGTATCCTTATTCAGTGAGCAGTCAGTCAAGAGGTTACTGCACTTCAGTTCTAACTAGACATTTGTACTAAGGTATTCAGTTATGTAAACTCAGCCTGGGCACTTTCTGATAACTGTAAAATGTTTTATAAGATCATGATTACTGAAGACACATTTTGGTAATTTTAAATGTTCGTGAGCAGCTTAACTACTTTTGTATCTAAAGCCTTTTTTAAGTATCTTGTTACATTTACTTTTTTAAATAAATTACAGAAGAAATGTCAAGTAATATTGAAGAAACAATAGTTTTTATTTTATCTAGTTGTACATTTTTAAACTAAGGGTAATACACTGACATGGTTATGTGCAAAAAATTTTTGATTTGAAGAACTGAAAATTTATATACACATGGACTCTAAGAAACAAAATCCACATTTTACAGTTAGCAGAGAATCCTGAATGGCACTGGCCAGGCCACATTTTCTTTTTATAAATGGGGAAGTGAAGTTGGGACCCACTTGGCAAGGGAATTAACCCACCTATGTGACAGGTTCTTTTTTGATGACCCATTATGTAACCTCGGACCAATATCTAAATTCTTGCGGTACCTTCATTCAATGGCACAATATGGAACACGGTTTTCTTCACAAAGTCTTCAATAAAGTGACTTAAACTAGTCACTTCACATACTGAAAATGAGCAGAGATTCTCTGGAATCTCTCCTACCTCTCAGTTCCTTCATAGGACTCCTGGCCTTCAGGATGTTTTTCATGTTCAAAGGCACTACACTTTTATTATATAACTTCCTTCAGAATGAACTACATGCTGTCCTCAGCCTTGCTGACATATATATATTAAAAACTAAAATGATAGTGCAACTTGTATTACTCAAAACTTACACAACATGCTGTTAGATTTGTGTAAATTAACCAAAGGTTATTTTACAAAGTAACATTGGTTTTTGTGTCTAAATGCTATTTCTGAGTAAGTGAAATAGTAGTTAGATTAAGAGCTGATTATTGATATGTCTGAAATAGTAACATATCGCCTTCACTTCTGTATGTACATTATGGGATTGATAAAGTATGAAATGAGAACAAATCATATGATTAGGACATTTGAAACCCTAATTGTGAACTTATTTTTAATAATTACTGAGAAAATGAAATATTTAAAATAATACAAAATGTCTTAAGTCTTCCTAAATCAAGATTTTGGTTAAAATGCTTTTAGGAATATTAAAAACAGTGAGTTTTTTTTTTTTAAGTAAAGCATAAAATGATTTTAAATGTAAAATAAAGTCATGTAAAATAAAGTTCTCTTTTGGTCTTGCTTAGTGATTAAATCTAATAGAATTGAAAACAAATTTAGGAAAAGAAGACCAAGAATGAACTTTACTGAGGGTTTTCAGAGTGTTGCTACTTTTAATTTCCCCCCTAAGTCATCTGAATATCAAGACTCCAGCATAATGGCTTACTGGGACAGACTTCTCTGAGAGGGCTTTTTAAGAGTATGATTTCACTGCTTAGTATTTGCCCCTAAACATTTCTCTCCTAAAGATATTGTGTGTTTAAAGGTTGTCAGCAATTTCTAGGTCTAAACTTAAACTGAGAGGTCTTCCCTCGAGGCAGTTGTCCTCGCGTGACTGTAGGCCCAAGATTCTCGTGTGGAATTCGTTCATGCAGATCTCAGTCACGGTCTTGTTCAGTAAATCTTAAGTGGAAGACAAATCTTTATTCTTAAACAGCATTCCAGGTGACTATGAAACTGCCCAAAGAACATTACTTTTTTTTCTTTTTTCTGTTTTTTACCCCCAAATATAAATGCCCCCTTTTGCAAACTCCCACGAGCCAAATGGCTACAACTTATAACCTATTTAAAAGTGCTTCTGTTAACCACCTTATCCTGAATTAGATTCTTCCTCCTGATAAAGGACTGGTTAAAGTGCTTTCAAAACCTCCCTGAGCAGTAATTGAAAATATTTTCAATGTTTACATTAAGTAAGTAGGCATGAACATACAGATTAATTCTTCTCTAAACATCATTTGATTAATGTAGAAACTTAAAGTGTGACTTTATGTCAAGATACCTTAGGTTAAAGAAAAGGAAAGTATCTTACATTACCTCTTAAAATTAAAAAATATATATTACTGGATTGTTTCCTGGAGTTTAATTACTAACTTGTGTTAGTACTTATTACTTACACATGTATAGTTCACTTTATCCTGTGAGATAAAGCCTGTCCATCCTCAGGTAGGGAAACAGGTTAAACAACTTGGGTAACTAAGGTTACACAGCTCCTACGTGTGAAGTATGTACTCCAGGTGTCTGGAGCTTGCATTCTCAGACAGTGGGCTGGACACTGTTCGGTGGAAGGTCTGATGGTAAGCGAGTGAGTTGGTCATTGGAGTTTCTGATCACCCAATTCCAGTATCTGGGGTGGGGGTGGGGGGCCCTGCACACCCACTAAGCGCCGTGCCACCGCGGGGTGTCCGACAGGTCACCTCCACTCTGACCCTGTCCCCGGGCCCAGGGCTCAGCCTCACAAGACCCGTCCAGGTAGGTGCCCGCCGCAGGCCCAGGTCCCAGGACCCCTTCCTGGGGTTTGAGTAATTTGCCAGCGTGGCTCACAGGACTCAGGAGAAACATGTTACTTACTAGATCACCGGTTTCTTATAAAACGGATACAAACGAGGCACAGCCAGATGGGCCATGCGCGGGGAAAGGATGCGGCGCTTCCCTGTTCTCTCCCCGCGCGGATCTCCCCGTGTTCGCCGCCTTGGAAGCTCCCCGAACCCTGTCATTTTGGGGTTATGGAGGCTTCATGACAGAGGCATGATTGACAGAGTCGCTGGCCGTTGGTGACTGATTCAGCCTCCAGCCCCTGGACCTCGTTTTTGTCTGTGAGATCAAATGATTTTCCCTTTCTGTGGTAGATTTCTTTAGATCAGTGGTTCTTTCTCAACCTTGGCTGCACATTAGAATCACCTGGGAATCTTTTTTAAAGTCCTGATTTCTGGGCCTCATCCTCCGGAAATTCTGTTTCTTTGTTATGGGGTGGGGCCACAACATTAGTAACAAACAGAATTTCTGGAGGATGAGGCCCAGAAATCAGGATTTTCAAAAGATCCCCAGGTGATTCTAATGTGCGGCCAAGGTTGAGAACCACTGCTCTAGATGGTTCCCTTAAGAGCCGGTATCAGTAATTCAACCAAATGGTTGTGCCCATCAGTGGCCACTGCCCGCAGCTGTGACGGGCGGCTCTCCTCTCCGCGACTGGAGCAAGCGCTTGGCAGGAGCCCAGCGCCCACTCCTTCTAGGGCCTGCGGTTCTCAACCTGTGGGTCGCGACCCCTTTGGCGGTCGAAAGACCCTTTCACAGGGGTCGCCTAAGACCATCCTGCATGTCAGATATTTACATTACGATTCATAACAGTAGCAACATTACAGTTATGAAGTAGCAACGAAAATAATTTTATGGTTGGGTCACAACATGAGGAACTGTATTTAAAGGGCCAGAAGGTTGAGAACCACTGTAGGCGGACACTTAGTTTCTTCAGCTGCAGCAGGAGGGGCTTTGCTGTCGCTACTTCAGAGACGCCCTGACCGACCATTCAATGGTAATTCAACGTGACTAAAGGCTCCGTTTGTTGAAACCATCTCAGAGCTTTCCACGACTTTTCCTAATGGAGCCCCCCCCCCCCGCCCCCATGCACACGCACACTTTTCCCTCCACCACTTCCTTTCTTTCGGGAGCTTAAAGACAACACAAAGTGGTTATTGCTACTTGTTAATTTGTTAACGGTGCGGTTTGTTTGTTTTTGTTTTTTCTTCCACCAAGAGTGTGGCTTCCCCCTAACCACCACCTGGCAGTCTCTCGGGACAGGCCGAGGAGCGCGACATACCGTGTTCCTGAAGCCACAGCGAGAGCTGCTGGGAGAGGTGGCCTGGCATGGCGGCCCCTCCCGCACCGGAGCAGTAGAGCCCCAGCCGCCATGGAGGG